GAATGTAAATGTTTGCTAAACCCAGCGTCTCTTTCAATGCAGCTTTATTGCTGTGTATCCAGGAACGGCCCTAGGCATAGGCCTCAGGCATGGTGGCTTTAAAACAACAATTTCTCTACGGTCGGTTGTTCAGGCTTTTGAGTAGCTCTGGGCGTGTTCATTCCTCAGCCTTCACTTGCACCCCTTGCAGAGAGAGGACAACACAGAGCTCCAGCAGCTCAGCTCCTTGGCCCTCCTGCTGATTTTATGGTTGGACTCGATGATCTTGAAGGTCTTTTCCAGCCATAATGATTCCATGATTTCAGGGAGGCCGTATGGACCCTGCTGGGCCAGGGCAGTCTCTGCATCAGGGAACTTGTGAGGACATTGCACTGAAAGGCAGTCCTTCAGTCAGAGAGCACTGCTGTGGGAGTGTTACACCTTGGCTCTCAGCTTGCAGAGAGGCTCAGTGCACAAAGTGCTTCCCTTCCATCATCAGGCATTCGCAAACCTTTTTCTTTTTTTTTTTTCTTTTTTCTTTCTTATTTTTTAAAACATTCTGCCATGTAAAGCTTTGCATAGTGCTTACTGCAGGAAAGCTCAGGCTTTCCATATCAGTATGTCTTGAGAGAGAAGACAAAGTCCAGTATAGAATGGGAAGTGCTCTGGTGCAGTCTGCAGTTTTGTGGGCTGAGATCGCTAGAGGCAATTTTCCTTTTATCTTCCAAGGAGGCTATTAATTTCAATCCTGATAGCCTAAGCTGCAACAGTAAATGGCCTAGGTTTTGTTACCTATTTCCTCAGAAAATGTGCTTAAGAGGAATGATGAATGAGGGTATTGCAGATGAATGTGTTGCTATTAGTTTTCAAAGTCGCTCTTCAGAGACATCATTTGAGGTCAAAACGCTGCTGTTGGGTATTGTATCGATGCCTGCAGCCAGGCAGTATCTCCAAAATTCACAGCTCAGGCCAAAGACTTTTGCTACCGCCATCAGGGCAGAACTTAATACCTGTTTAATACCTTAATTTAATTCCTTAGTACCTGTAGAGATTGAGTACGCATCGGCCGTAATGAACCCTGATGCTTGTTGCATTTGGCACTGAGCAAACTATGGCTTGCAAGCCTAGGCAAGCATGAGTTGGCAGAGGGTGTGTTCTTATTTTGTTATTCAGGTGAGGATTAAGTGAGAATTAATTATCTACTGAATTAATTGACTACTTACTAATTTATTTACTTATTAATTTATCAACTGAAGGATGCCTGGGAAATTGAAGCCAGAACAGAGATGAACCTTCATCTCCCAACTCTCAGTTCAGTGCTCCAGTTACAAATCAGTTTCTTCATTCTCTATTAGTTTTTAGACCATTATATGCATATATAGCTATATGCACCCAATGTAGGACTGTATTGGTAATGTGATGCAGTATGTGGCACTATGGTAATAGATATGCATGGTTGTATGCAAAGGGTACTGTCCTTTCATAACAGAGGAAAGACCAAACCAGAGGTGTGTTCTGCCCTCACTTCCTTCTGCTACCACCTCCTTGACTTTGTAACCTCTGCTTTGCTGTAAAATAATGGACAGTTTAATTTATAGAATTTATATTTCCTAAATATATTGTGCTGCACGTGCTACTTTGAGTTTTAGTACCATGTAGCGGAAAATGCTTTGCAGAAAATGGCACAATATAGGAAAATAATAATGATACAAGATACAATTGATATAGGTGAAAATAGCAAGTCTGAAAATACCATGTAATGCAGAGAAAACTAGTGCCAGATGATGTCCCAGAGCAGTGTCTTCAGGAATGACTGGAAATCACAGTTATCATAGGACTGGCAAACAGATGAGAATCATAGAATGCTTAAGGTTGGAAGGGACCTCTGGAGATCATCTAGTCCAACCGCCCTGCACACTCAGGGTCACCTAGAGCACGTGGCACAGGACTGCATCCAGATGGGTTTTGAAGATCTCCAGAGAAGGAGACTCCACAACCTCTCTGGGCAGCCTGTTCCAGTGCTCTGTCACCCTCCTTCACTGTTAAGAAATTTTTCCTTAAGTTCCGGTGGAACTTTTGGTGTTTCAGTTTGTGGCCGTTTCCTCTAGTTCTGTCGGCGGCCACCAGTGAAAAGAGGCCAGCACCATCCTCCTCACTCCCTCCCTTGAGGTACTTATAGGCACTGATCAGATCCCCTCTCAGCCTTCTCTTCTCCAGGCTGAACAGGCCCAGCTCCCTCAGCCTCTCCTCATAGGGCAGATGTTCCAGGCCCCTGATCATCCTTGTAGCCCTGCACTGGACTCTCTCCAGCAGCTCCACATCCCTCTTGTACTGTGGAGCCCAGAACTGGGCACAATACTCCAGATGTGGCCTCACCAGGGCTGAGTAGAGGGGCAGGATCACCTCCCTCGATCTGCTGGAGACGCTCTTTTTAATGCATCCCAGGATCCCATTGGCCTTCTTTACCACGAGGGCAAGAAAAACATTTGTAAAATAGAATAAGATATGTACAACTTTCCCTTCCACATTGTTATCTAGGACACTAGTGTGTAAGTCTGTACTTAACTTCCATATCATATAGTTCATATTAACTTTGCTGATCAATATTAATTAAAAAAAGAACACAGCAGGAGGTAAATGGCCTCTTGAAAGAGACATGGCTAATATTTCCTTAAGCAGACTGCTTTATACAACTAATGTTGAATGTAATACATCTAGCCATAAAATATAGCTTAAAAAGATTGAGAACCAGAAACATGTGATACAGAATATGCCAGACTTATTGCAAAAGCCTCTAATAGCTTTGGAAAAAAAGAATAGGGAAAATGCTCCAGTTTCACGCCGCAGAATAACCATGTGGTCTGACTGTGCCTCATAAGGATATATAAAGTGTTTCACAAGCATTGGTTTTAGTAATAAGGAGGTAAGTGATACTGATTTCTCTGAGCAATATTTCTTATCAAAGAAAGTTCTTATCAACGAAGGTTCTTTCAAATAAAGCTTGAACGAATGAAAAAATACAAAAAAAAATGATGCCCCATTTCTGCGGAAATTCTGGTAGTTCAGTTAGTGTTTTAGTTTCTCATTTGATCAGTTGAAGGCATTTCTTTGTGTCTGCTTGAACGTCTGCTTTAAGGATTTGTAGACTTAACAGTGTTGCTTTTTGTTTATTTTCTGATCCTCTTGCACAGCAGAGTTTGATTGGGGTGTGGAAGGGAAGTGCCTGGCCTTGTAGTAAATAGAGAACAGTCCTCAGAAACCCAGACTGAGAAGTAAGAGCTGAGGTTTATAGTAGAACATTCTGCTCTCTGTAGAATTACCAGTGAAACATCAAGAATAACTTAAAAATTACTCACATAAGAATTCAGCTCACAGCCACCAGAAGCTTCCAAATTGCGCTTTTCCCTCTGTTCCACTGACGCCAAAAATATTAGAATCAAGTTAAGATCCCTAGATTGTAAATCAAGCACTGAGGCTTGGCTGCGGAAGAGAAATCTTATTTGAACATTAGCAGTCCACTGGTTACCCTGCCAGCTTTATTAATCTTATTTCACTTGTGACCTCAGACTTTCCATCTGAGTAAATCTTCATGAAATGCAGTCTCTCCCAATCGCTTTCCCTTTTCAATAAAGGAAATTCTTGTTTTCAAGGGAAAAAATGCTAAAAGCCTCTAACTTCATTTCTTCTGATCCCGTGATCCAGCGCAATGAGTAATCTGATAATATGATGGTTAAATAACTCCATTTTGATGTCAGGTATGAACCTTTTGCTTAAAAGAAGACTCGCTGTTTTGCACATGGGCAGCACTGTTGTTTAACAGATGTGGTTTGTAACAATTTAATCAAGATAGGCTGTGTATTTTAACGAGTGAACTGCCTTACACTTTCTAAGCAGACTGTTGGCTTCGTTGTTTACAGGGCCACCAAATGCAGGGTGTAGATGACACAACAGAAAGTCCATCTCTCTCCTGGCAGTGCGTAGAGTGCAGCAAACAAATCCTTGGGGGTGCTATGTGTTAATTGCAACTGGAATAAAAAATAATGCAATGCTGTGTGTATTTCTGAAAAGAACCCAATGTTCTGAAAGGGCGGAAAGCCTCGTGTGGACAGTGTGGACAGGCTCTGCTAGACCTGTGAGAAGCCGCTAGTGCTTCGGTCCTGTCTGCAGCGAGGAACCGCGATGCAGTCAGATGGCCCTGGAGGGACGTGGTGGGGAGGGAACCTGGCGGCTGCAGCTTGCCGGAGAAATTGCAATTCCCTCAGCTGTGTGCAGAGGGAGGGCTGGCCGGAGCCCCTGCTCCAGAAGGGGATGGCGATGCCAAGCGGCACTCACACGCTCAGGAGCTGCTCAGAAGCACCCCCAGACTTGTTCGCTGTGGAACGCCCACCCGAGGCAGCAGAACTATCTGTGTCAGAGCTGCCAGGTAGATCAGTAAGGGCTCTCAGCGCTTCCTGCCGCGCACCTTTGATGAGCGCTAGATTTATGACAAATGCAGGAACTAAAGGCAGCTCATTTGGACTCTCCTGATGGCTGGTGCTGCTGGAGATAAGACAGACTTTGTTGCCTTAACTGCCTGAAAAAGAGAAGAAAGAATTATCTGCGAAAAGGTTAAGAACCAACTTTTATTTTTTGCAGCTAGTGCTCTCCAACCGATTTGACACAAGGAACTCGCTCACAGTGTGTTTTGGGGGAAGGAATGGGAAAAGGCTTATTTATGCAATTGCTGAAAATAAGTGAGGTGTATTTCAGTAAGCAAAAATACAATATGTGAAAAGACTAACTAACTAATGTCAGATAATCTGTGTATAAACCCCACATAAAAGACTATGCGTGGGCAAGCAAATTCAGCTGCCTTGCATCCTGCAGAGCGGTCAGCGTGGAGGTGCTTGGTGCCAGGTGCCACTGTGGGCTGCTGCCAGCAAGGCACTCACAGCAGCTCGAGGCCAATGTGCCAGAGAGGACGGCACCCACCACGATCAAATGCTAACACCAGCAAGAAACATTAGTGACGGTTGTAACCAAACCTGCTGCTGCTTAAATCGTATTCTCTGTGAAAGAAGTTGGTTTTAGAAAACAAGAAAAGAAAGTGTTGTGTGATGCATGTTTGTAGGCAATTTCTCCTGTGATGGGGTGCAGGATGCTCAGCAGAAAAAAGGGAACAGAGCTGTTTTTTCTTGAGGTGCTGAAGATTAAATAAAGACTGGTACTAATAGCAAGTGCTGTGAGTTGTGAGGGTGGCAGAGCTGGATATCAGAAAGCTTGAGCTTCTCCACAGCTGCAGGCCCCATCCAGTCCCGATCCATCCAGAAAGGTGCTCTGTGGCTTTGGCCTTGAGCCATGTCCTTCCTTGGAGCCTGCAGAAGGAGATGCCTCTCTGGCTCCGCAGATTCCTTTGGGGTCATTGGTGGAGTGTGCTTTAGTAATGCGGAAGATTGAGAACTGGGGGAACAACTCAGATATTTTGAGAGGAAGAGGAGCACTTGTCCTGCGGCTGCTACTGGATACCAGCTGGTCTGTCAGGACTGGTGTATGTGAACCGTGCTTGCCAAAAGGGCGCTTGTCATCTTCCTCCTACCGAAAAAGAGGGAAGGAAAAAGTGTATGGGGAGGGAGCGGGAAGGGATGGTAATATTACCTCATTAAAAATGGATGATGCCTTGTTTTATGATATTCGTGTGGTATTTGTGGCTTGGTTTTTGCCCGCAGGCTTACATGCAGCCCCACTTGCTGGGAAATGAGTTCACACATCTAGAGTTTCCGCGGAGGGTGCAGCGCAAGGAGGTTGGCAAGAGGATGCTCTACCGTGACTTCAACATGACCGGCTGGTAAGAACGTGCCCCGTGCAGCCTGGCGTCGGCCTTGCCCCAGCCGTGCCTGCTCTGAGCGCGTTTGTGAGTGGTGTCAGCTCATTTTAGTGTGTGAGCACTCAAGGTGGAGCAAAACTCTTAAAAAGGCAGATGTGCCAGGGGATCTTTCTGAAAGCTGAACAACTTTGCTGTCTTGGAAGTAGCTTTTTATAGAAACAGCTGGGCTGTTTCTCCTTTGCATGATGAAAAATGCTGCAAATGGAGGAGCTGCCCCCATACAGGAGCGCAGATGGCCCCTGATTTGGATAATCTTGAGGAATTGCTTTAGACACAGGCCTATCTGAATAAAAGTCATAGCCAGCCTAAAATGAAAAGGCTCGAATGAAAAGCATTGACTTAATGAACTGAAGACAGGAAGAGTGATGAGTTTTTGTCTGTGGCTAAATGTCCTCATTGTTTTGTGTCAGTTCAGGAGGTTCCTTCTCTAGGGACTCCCCTCACTTAGGGAAGCTGGATGTGCTCCATATGTGACCTGCAAATGGGAAGATCCCAGATATGCACATGGCCTTCCCTTACATGCAGGTTGTGTTTTAACATTCAGAGCAAATGCTCATGCAGGAAGGGAAGAAGGTTGAAGGGATGAAAAAGCTTGAGCTCTTGCAGGTTTGCAGACTTGGATGGACCTATAGCCCCACATGCTTTTTATTGTCCCATACTTCACTGCCCATAAATACACTGTTTTCGTGCCTTTATAATTACTTACGTTTATCAGTGTAATTTGCAGTTTTGAAATTGTATAGAATACGGTAATCTTGGGCAATCATCATTGGCCATCACCTCAAACAGTTGATAGTAGAAATATGTAATCCTGCCCTGACCTTGGATTTAAAAAGCTTCAGGCATGATCCAAAAGATAGGAACAAAAAGAGTAAATTAGTTGAACTGCGCACTTGTATAGCAAAATATTTGGAAGATGCTGGAACAGGCTGCCCGCTCTCTGCAAAAGGTGATTTCTCACTGAATTCATGACTTCTCTGAAGGCATCTGTAAAGAATGACTTAACACAGACTTCCAGAAGGTCTTTTTTGAGATGAGAGATGCTACTGAAAAATAAAACTGATTTGGAGGGACAGTTACAGAAATACCATAAGCCAAGAACTCCCTAAGAAAATGGAAGAAGCAGAATTTTTTCCCTTGTGATCAGAAAGCAAACAGGATTACTCCAGGTTCATGGGGAGGTTTTTTTCCCAATTGGGTAGTAGTCAGGGAATGAGGGGAATGAGGTTAGTGGTTAAAGTAGCAGCATGGATAAGTGATACACCTCTCCTTAGACTGTGAGGGCCTGTAAATGATTTACATGAATGATCAAATCTGTGTTGATAAGTACTGAACAGAGCCTGAAGTGGGAATGTACCTATTTGTGCGTGTTAGCAGTTCCCCATGCACTTGAGAGCCATGTCAAAGTGAGCTCAATGAGAATCTCTGCCCACTGTGCTGTTCCAGGCAGAAGCACCAGCCGGATGTCAGGATGCATAAAGGGCTGGAATGATTTAAAATTAAAAGAAGGGATAATTCTGTATATCCATTTGTGCCTCATTTGTGAGTCTCTATATAGCACTTTCACCTCTTTGGAAATGGTTATTGCATAGGTAATATTTGGCATTAGAAGAAAGATAAATGAGAAGGAGCACCATTTTTAGACATGCAATAATGAGTAAGATAGAAGAGATTGGTAAGTCTAAATGGGTTGCAGATTTAATTCAGTGTATTGTTTTTCAGTACTGCTGTGTGAATTCATTTTAGCGTATGGCAAGGGAGAGAAATGAGTTGATTTTCCTGTTGATTTTTCTGAATTTCCTGAAGTTTAGGACACATATTGTTCCAGTTATAGATTCTAATATGGTCGGTACACAGATTGCCCCCAGTTCAGCACAAATATGCCTAGCTTCAGCAGCTATCCAAGAACAAGTACTCAAACTGTGACTTGAATATTCGAGCCTAAATACACCTTAGTGGTGACCCAGAAAGAGATGGCCTATGCCAAGCAAAAGCATGTGGAGACCGTGATGATGCTGCCTCTCCCTGCTGTTCTTTTGAATTTTGACTGGAAGCAGAAAATGTCCTGAATAATACAATCTTTTTAGCTGATTTCTCACAGTTAATGCATCAGTTACCTTTTTTCTTATTTGCTTCAGGATAATAAAGTGGTGAGGGTATTGTTCTGCTCTGCATTTAGGTAAATCAGAGTCTTTCTAAATAAGGTTCTGGGTTTCTTTTGCAGGGCATTTGTTGAATGAAGACTTGTTTTCCCTGGAATTGTGTGCAGTGATCTCCTAAGCAGAGGAGAAACAATCTGCTTCTGTTTATCCTAAAGTCTGGATCAGCTTTAATGGTTAAAAATGCAGGCAAGATGTTGGCTTTTGGCTTGAGTAGCCTGTAGAGGTGGTATTTGGCTGGTATTGCTCAGTGATAGTTTTTTGTCTCAAGATTCTTGCTTCTATTTTCTTCTCTTTCTGATTTCTAGAATTAATTGATGCATCACGTGCATCTCCCTTTGTTTCTAAGGACAGTTTCTGTCATGGAGAATAAGCATAAATATTCCTTTTCTACAAAAAGTCAGGTAGAGCCTTGACCAGCCAGAGCACCTACACTAAAATGCTGCCAAACCTTTATTGCTTATAATGCAGAAGATCAATCGTCAACATCCTTGATGTTGACTTCCCTGCGTGTTGACGTTTGTGTGAGTGGAGATACGCAGGCGATCGGGACAGAAAGCAGTGGCTCTAATCCTTCAGAAAGATGGTGTAAAATGCAGCTCTGATACTTCCTCTGGAAAAAGAAACGTTTTATTTTAAAATTCGGGACGCTTTCCGTGGTTTCTATTAGAAGCTGCATGACTTTTTTCCCCCTCCTTTCTCCTGTGCTCCGGAGCGTTGCAGCTTCTCAACAATGGCCTGGCTTGCCCAGCCTGGGTGCCTTACAAAAGCTTATTGTCTCCACGTCTGTCATCCTGCATTTGGCCTCCACCACATACTTAATTTTTCTCTTTTTCCCCCGTGAAGTTTCCACATGGGCTTTGTCTCGGCAGCCCACAGCGGTAGCAGCACTGCCAAGTTTCCCCGCGGCATTAAGGACAACCGCTGATCCAGCAGCGCGTGCAGCAGCGCCAGCCCAAGCTGCCTGTAATTGCGCCGGGAGTAACATTTCCCTTCTCCCATGAGCGTCGCCATCCCTCATCCCCTCTCTGCAGCAGGAGGTCGGGGCCAGAACTGCCCTGCGGTGCTTGGGTGGGAGCTGGCTGCGAGGCAGATGACATCTGTGGTGCTAATGGGCACCCACAGCTGGATCCCTGTTCTAGGAGCTTTACATCCATGACTTGCAGAGGATGAACCTTTATGATGGAGGGTTATTCTGGTGACTCTGGCAAGTCTAGGCATCAGAAGCATGAGGGACCCCATAAGCAAAATGTTACCAATGTTAAGAAGGGTGTAGGTAATGTGAGGTAGAAGCACACAAAAAACAGGCAGGCCTGATGTTAAAATATTCTAGTGTTTGTCTTCAGATGCACAGAATCAATATTCTCCATCTTCTCCCTTTGCTTAAGACACAGTTGGTAAGGTTTGCTTCACCCATGAATGAGTCCAGTGTGAGCAATTTCTGTTTTTTTTTCCTTATTGAACATGCATTTCCGAGTGCTTTGCGCTCCATGTGTCTCAGAGCACTTCCCGAAACCTGCTCTGTGATTTTCTAGTGCATCGTGCTCCTGGCCCGCACACACAGACCTGCTTCTGCCCATGTCCCCTCTCAGCCTCCTGTAGGGCCAGGGCGTCCTTACAGCACCAGTTTTAAGTGGAGGCATCCAGAGGGCACTACCATTCGGCGTCCATTTTTGTGGTTTTCCAAATTACGTTCCTCCTTGGAAAAAAAGCAGAAGCCTTTCTGCATTAAAGCAGAGGATTTTAGGATCTAAAGTGACAGTAGAGCCCTGGACCAGAAGTCTGCTTTTAGACCTGATTTGTTTGTGACTTGCTTTACCCACAGAGATTGTACAGAGCCAAATTATACCCCTTTCAAAATGGTTCAAGCAACGGGTCTCATCCCAGCTTCTTGTAAAGGGTTAAAATCCCGGGATGCAGCCAGGAGGGCAGTGGTCCCTTCCAGGCGAGTGCGCTGCATCCGCAGCAGCAGAGCTGGGTGTCTGGTGAGGTGGTGTCAGAGCACACGATCAGCCACCCAGCGGTCAGCCTGCTCCAGGGAATCACTGGTGTGTCTGTGATTTATCCCGAACCAGGAAGGCTGCTGCCCTGGGGCTCATGCTGAGCAAAACCCATTTTATTCTAGAGTAAACGCTGTCCGCTTCCTGGCACGCCACCAGCCTGTCCTGTGCTCGCCCTTTCCTTTCCAGCGGGGAATGTCTTTCAGCCTCTAAGCATCTGATTCAAAGAAGCAACCTCACTTCTCAAGTCGTTTTGTTTGGTTTGGGATGGATGCCTTCTGCTTTTATTGTGCAGCCCGCCTTGCAGTCTGCGGTTGTGAATCCAGCTCACAAAAGAAATAAAATAAAAAATCAGGCGGGGATCTAGATCCCCCCAGTCGGGTCTTATCAGAGCCAACGTGAACATGGTGCTTGGTAATGCGTGAGCTGATTTGGACAAATACTGTGCATGCAGCCGTGCTTTCCTTCTTCCCTGCGCTGCCCGGTGTCCTTTGGCAGCGTGTCCAGGTAGCGCAGGCAGATTGAGAGGTGCCCCGGAGCGCAGCATGGCGCAGGCGCCGCACTGCACCCCCCGCTTCATATAAATTGATTTATTGAATCAAGCGCAGAAGCCCTGCTGCAGAAACCCCAGGCTATATCCTCTGGAGAACCACCTAATAAAACAGCCCCGACTGACACTCCTCATTAGCTTTTCCGTGGATCCCAAGGCAGTATTTAAAGTGACAGTGTCCCTCTTTTCGGCCTGGATTTATCTGCCGGCTAATGCCGATGGGTCTAATTAGCTTAGCATTATTAGTCTTAT